ATAGAAGTCCCGCAAAACAGAAACTAGCTAATCCTGAGCTTTTACTATAGGAGTTACTGTCTATCTGGCCGTCTTTTTTTAGGATTCAGTTCCTGGCATGTGCTTTGTAGTGTTTTAGAGAATTGTAAAATGCAATAAATCCTAGCAGCATTTGCAGTGAATCTCATTGGTTTAATTAGTGAATCTTCTCTTTATTGCAATAAAATGGTATAATAAAATAGCACAGATATTTTTTTTAAATTTGGATTTTTATGACAGATTTTAAAAAAATCAGAATAAATGCAATTCTTACAGAAAAAAATATTTTTTGCATCACTTTATTAAAAGTTATGAGGAGTTAAATGCAGCTTAAACTAAGTAAAGATTAGACATGTACTCCCAGGTTTTGATTGAAATATGAAGACTATACATGTTTTTCAATCTGTTTGTAGAGTACCAATCAAATAATACCTTTAAAAAGTGTTGCTGTTGCAAGTCTTCAAATTATTTTACGAATATTTAGGCAAATGAGTTATTTTCACATCAGCCAAGTTATTGTCTCTTTTGAGATAGGAGGGCAACAAGCTCAAAACAACCCAACCAAAAAGTTATATACACATGCTTTATTTTCTGAGATACATTTTATATATCTGAACCCACAATATTTTTGTAGTATAATGGAACTTCCTCATTCAGCTGTAAATGTTTTCTTGAGCTCTAATGAAGCAGTTAATCAAGTCTGTTCATTCATCTACAGAACATAAATTCCTTATATCATCACGTAGCTGTGTACACATAATTGCATGTATTCCACACTCACTGGAGAGTTACTGATATAAACAAACATATTATAGTAGGGTCTTTTTTTTGTTTGTTTTTTTTTTTTCCTGGGTTTTTTTGTTGGTTGTTGTTGTGTTGTTTTGTTTGTTTTGTTTTTAGTATGTTATTGGGTTTTTTGTACTAAAGGCAATTCAAATTCAAATGCCAGGAAGTGAGTACTAAGTAGAGTTCATATATAGAAAAAGAGCACTTAAGTCTATCATTCTCCATATAAAAACTTGAAATCAGCCTCTTCATTTATGTCACTACAATTGGATGTTTGAACATCTACACATTATTTCTTTTTTTTTACAAAAAAATTCACAAAATCAGTTAATGGCAATTTCAAGCTGAGAAGTTGGGACATGAGAAATGGAGAGTCAAGAATTTTTTTCCTGTGGATATAGTCCCTTCCTGAGTGTTGCTGCAATTTTAATGACTTCCACTTCCTGTAATATTTCCTTTGGTCAAAGAAAATATTTTACACGTGAGAAGACACAATGGGGGACACAGCCACTGCAGCTGACCCCAGCTGACCAAAGGAATATCCCAGACCATATGTCATCATGATCAGCATATAAATTTGGGGAAGAAGAGGGGATGTTCACAGTTCATTTGGAGTGATGTTGTGTCTACCCAAGTCACCATTATGCATGATGCCCTGCTGTGGTGGGGATGGCTCAACACCTGCCTGACCATGGGAAGCAGTGAATGAATTCCTGATTTTTCTTTGCTTGTTCATGTGTCTTTTGCTTTACCTATTAGGCTGTCTGATCTAAGTTTATGATTTTTCTTACCTTTAGTCCTCTGATCCTGTTCCTACACCACTGCAAGGAGGAGTGGGAGGAGCGGTATGGAATTAGCTGGGGTTAAACCATGACAAAATATACATAACTAAAGTTAGGATTTCTGCTGTAAAGGTGGTACACTCAAATGCACAGATGAGCAAACCTAGAAGTACTTTGGAAGGTAATGACAAAGGGTACATAGTGCTATTGTTTGTAGTGGCTGCTGCAAGTGGGCAAAGGGTTTTTGGATGCTGGATGACACTGCTTGGTATAAAGCCATAGAATCCTTTAGGCTGGGAAAAAAGTTTAAGATCATCAACTCCAATTGTTATCCTAACACTATCAACTCCATCCTTAAATAAAATCCCTAAATGCCACATTAATACTTTTTTAAAATACCTCCTGGCATGGTGACACAACCACTTCCCTGGGCAACCGCTTCAAAATGCTTCAAAGCCCTCTCAAAGAAGAAATTTTTAATAGCCAATTTAAAAGTTTAATTTAACAGACTTAACAGAAGATGACTTCTAGAAAAGAAAATCTCTACAAATATATAATCTCTTTATTACAATGTGAGCCTAAATTTGTAGCATGCTTTATAATTCTTATTCTATTACTAGTGAGCTCTTCATCTAATATGAAACAGAGCAGATAATTTTGAGATAGAACTGTTTCTATCACACTTTCTCTCTTGAGGTGGAGAAAGCTCCAGATTTATCTGTACTCAATACTGACATTCCTGGTGACAGAACGCTCAGACAGGAATAGTGGAAAAAAGCTGATCAAAAATTGGCTCATTTATTGCAATTTTAATCTTCTGAAAGATGTAACATGTTAATGCTTTAATAATCCTTGTGTGTATATCTGGTTGACCACCTGAACAACAGACAGTATTACCTAAGAACCCTTCTTGTTTTTAAACTGAGTTTGTAGTGTAAAATTTGTCTGCATATTCTTTTCTTGGAACTTCACCAAATGTTACTACACAGCATTATGACACTGGTATAAATTAGTCACAGGATGCACAGACTGTGCTCTAACAGTGTCTGTCACCTCATGGCAAGCAGCACAAAGAAGAAAAGGTAGTAGAGTCTCTGTCCATGGATGAAAACAGGCCTCTCCCCTCATCTTCCCATCTGGTAAAACAAATAGCTTGTCTGGTTCTGAGGGGAAAATGGGAAAGGACTCATAAATGGGAGAAACTGACCTTGAGAGTATGATAGAGGTCCTGACACTAAAGTACGTGATAGCAAGAAAAATCTATACTTTGAAAGGCTCTTGAAAAGTATTCATTTTTTACATTAGACGAAAATACTTCTACTGCTACCAGTAGTTTACCATACAGATCTCTCATGATCTTTCTCTTCTGCGTTGAAGGAATATTTAATGAAAATCACAAAAAGGGAAGCTGATATTTTTCTCTTAGTTACATTTGCAGAGAAAATCAGAGACACTACAGAGACTACAATGCCTTGACATAAGATATTGCCATTACTATTGTCTGAAAGTAACAGCCACTGCAGAGTTAATAACTTGATTACAATTTAGAAATGCCACCAGAGTAAAGCCAGTATGTCTCTATTTATTCTAGAGCCACAACCAACTCCAGTATTAGCCATGTGCCATTTATTCTTTTTTCGACCTTGCCCCAGGAAAGAGGTAGTTTGCCACCAGCCTTTTGGGGATATTGCAAGTAGGAAATGGGTAGTGGGCACTGAGTAAAGCTTGCTTTGTGTTTATTTCTTACTATCTAAGCACTTACTGAATCTTCCCAAAGCTAAAGGATAGCTGGAAGTTTTCCAAAATTATTCTCAGCTTCTCTTGGTCACAGTGTCAGAGAGTTCAAACGAGTTGAGTAATTTTTAAGTCCTAGCTTATTTCTAACAGACAAAAAAAAAAAAAATAAAAAAATCATGGCTTGTTTCTGTGAACTGCAGGAGAATTGCCATCATTTATACCTAATTTTCTTGAGTATCACAGTGTTACTCTCAGTAGAAGGGTCCACTCTCCTAAGCCACAGAAATAACTTTCTCTTCAATTTCAGCCAGTGTGTGACTATGCTTGGAGTTTTTGACCCCTGTAATTCTTCGTCTCTTTTTGAGAATTCAATCTCTGATTAATGTCTGCATTCTCTGCAAATCATTCTGAATAATTTCCTTAGTGATCTGTCTCCTGAAGAGGAATTAGGCACTGAGGATTAAACATGAATGGGTCTCTGTCTTTAATTACACTGTGTCAGGTTCCGATGTCTAAATGAAAAAATTATACCATTTAAAGTCCAATGTTGTTTTTTTTTTTCCCAAAACTTTTATCATTATTTTGGCTCCTTTCTTTTGTGGAACTCAGAGATACAATCAACTCATTGCAGGCACCTACTTATATTACTATTTGATCAAAAAAAACTCAACAAAAAACAGCAACAAACTTAGACCTGTCCCCAAACTAGAAATTGATAGAGAGATCCTGAAAGTTTTTGTGGTGTATTTTCAGTCTTGTGTGCACATGCATAACTGTATCAGACCTAGGGAGTGTAACATATAAAGGGCCACAGTACTGAAGAATCTTTACTCAAGAAAATTGTTTGTATTGACTCCTTTGTTAGTTGATCGCTATTCTAAAAGGACAAGATTTTCAAGTGTAAATCGGCATAATTTTCAATTTGGCTGAAGAAATCCTATAATAATTTGCAGAAATGAGTATTTGGTTTTGCTGTTGCTGTTAGTAACAGTCTTTGCATAAACAAGGAAGATAACAGATTCCAAAAGGTAGTAAGTGCAACAGACCTGTAATATATTCAATCCAGATCTTGCAAATTGAGACAGGGAAAGAAACTGATGAGTCCAGCTTCTATTTATCACTAAAGGTGGTCTTCATATCACCTAATAATAATAATAATGATATAGATGTCTAACCTTTTCTGTCTAGAAGCTGTCAAGTCTGAGCTAGTCACCAAAGTTCCCTGTGTAGCAGGTGGAAAGGAGTGGCTTCATCCACAAGGTGATCTCTGTCAGCCTAAGATAAATGTTTGAGGTAGAAAGATGGAATAAAGTAAGGTGGAAGAGAAGTGAGATGTATCATTCTCTGGACAAATGTGTCTTCCTTTTCCTAAAGCATTAAAGGTCATGGAGACAATCTGGCTAGACTTGACCCACAGGCAGATAATATTAGATGAGAGAAATCCTACCTCGCACTGTGGCACTTGAGAAAATCATATTACTTTCCTATGACTATTTGCACATCCATAAAATGGGGCATATAATATATCCCTATATCAAAAATATCCTGCAAAATTTGATTCATGGTAAGTCTTTGTGACCCTTGAGTAAAATGAAGCATAGGGACAGTACAGCATATTTCTCTAAGGGCAAAAAGTGCAAATTCATTAAATTTATATTATCGCCTTTTTGTAAATACCTAGGTTTTGCATGCAGCATCCCACCTTGAGCCTTGTCAACAGGTCTCAAAAAGCTGAAAATATAAAGAGAGAATGTGCACAGTTAAATGAGTTTGGTGATTGTCAAGCTATTTCTATTAGGCTGTAATAGGCTTGGTATCTAGGTCATGCTTTGCTCAGAAAAGAATGAAAAAGAGCTTTAAATGCACTTTTCATCTCAGCAGAATGACCCCACATGAATTCAAAATTGAGCCAGAGAAAGCTGTTAATCAGAGATTAAGCTCTAACAAATAAGTTTTCTGCCAATAATGTCTGTGGTCATCTACTGTGATGTGTTCAATAGGATCATGTTTAGAATTAAAACCCAGTTAATTTAATCTTTTCCTGTTCTACCTCTTTTAGGAGAATGCTGACACACCACAGTTCGGAATTGTTCAAGGCATTAGGAAAAAAAATGGGCAAATTCAGAACTTCACGCATCACACCTTGTTCCCTGCTCGTGAAGTACTAATGTTGAGTGGGTTTATGGAAGGGGTTAAAGTGAGAAATGGTCCACAGGAAAAAGTGGTGAAATAAAGGAGAAATTTGGGTTCCTGACTGAAGTCTCACTTGTCTAAATGTTTACCTATTTGCTTCAAAAGGAAAAGAAAAAGGCTTCAGTTTTTCCCATCTGTTATTACATTATATCATCACTACTGTGGACACAGAGAATGTACTATTCAAAACTCAAGAAGTGATTTTCTTTACTCAGTAGAAGGTAGGTGAGATAAAGACAAGCTGTGGCTAGCCTATGGTGCTGACCCAGCAAAGCTTGGACCAGTTGCAGCAGTGAAATCTCTTGGTAATTCTTCCTTTCTGGGTCATGTAAAAGAGGTAACGTTTCTTGAATGCACAGAGAATCTGCAGGAGGATGGATTCAGAAGGCATGTTGATTTTTAACTTACTGGGTTATTCAAAGAGGCAGCCAGGTCCAGCAGGCCAGAAGGACCAGTTCACACTCACACACCTGGAAAGACACCAGTGCACTCAACTATTAATCAGGCAGGAAGAATTTGTCTTTGTTATCCCATGGAAAGGTCTGATCCTTGATGTTTTGAAGCTGCCATCCTAGAGAATCTGCAGACACCTAACTACCTACTGCTCAACCCCTTTGCCTTATAGGGAAATCAAGGTGTTAACTGTTAGAATCTCAACTATTACATTTCTGTCTGTAGTTTTGCTTTTCTTATAGTGCATGGATGTAGCTCATGTGCTCTTGTCACACCTTGTCACAATTTCCCTGGTAAAACTGAGTCAAGATCACACAGCTGCATGAAACCAGTGTTTGATCAAGGATAGCTGAACCTCTGGGTTGAGAATTACACTTTGACTGATCCTAATTAAAACTGAAATGACTGACTCTTACATATTTTTTACAACAATCATGTATCTTAAAAGAAAATGTATGTTACATATAGCGCCATATCTGACTCATCATGCTTGAGAATAAATTAATTTCTTCCTGTGTTTCTTTCTAATTATTGCATTGAGTTACTGAAAAGGGTTCTTAATGATGCATGAGTAGCACCCACATTACTCATTTACCAACCTGATGAGAAATTTCATGGGATACAGGAGACTAAACTGAATCCCTGAAAAGAAAGGCAATCAATACCATACAATTTGAATATTATTCATGTACGTGTACTGCAAATTTGGTCTGAAAGAAGGTAGATATTCTGGAATAGTCTTCCAGTAAGAAGGCAGTTTTTTTATAGCATGGATCAATATGTGGTGTGCCTTTTGTATGAGCTTAGGTCTGCATAGGTGTCCAAGGAAAATTCTTTCCAGTCCTACACTACAACTAAAAAAAGGAACAAAATGAACAAAGTAATAACTCACTGAGGAATGCATACAAACATACATGGAAATGAGTAATAAAGTTCCCCATGTATATTGACCACAACACATCTTTTACTGGTTTTTGGAAGATTCTATTTAAAAGAGCACACTGATTTGGGACAGTATTTAAAGATTTTATTTTAAGCATGTGCTCAAGGTGAACTAGTAGCTCAGTGCTGAAGGCTACACCATGTGTTTCAGTTAATATTATTGGGATTCTTAACACTTCCATAGGTTTTTTTTCTTTATATAGGCATGTAGGCTTGAGAACATATTACAAAAGAATTTTCTGTTTAATTTCAGTGCTTTGGAAAATTTGGGTACCAATTTTTACTTACTAAGTCAGTCATTATTATTTTATAGCTAAATTTGCAATTTTTCTTTAATGCTTCCAGAATATCTTTTTAGTAGTCACCTGAATGACAAGAGATCTGTTCTGATTATGCTTGAGGGATTCTTCAAGTTACTGTAATATCAGATATGAGACATGCAGATGTTCAGTCTTAACCTGTGTCATCTGTGTCACAGTTGAAATGGTGCCTGTTCTGACACCATTACAATAAGACTCCTCAAACATTTTATTATTTTTTTCTACTGACTGAAATGATGTTTACTTCATGCAACATGATTCTCAGCATTTATGAGGTGATCAGATATTGCATATACCCTTGACAAATAAAAGGTTGCTCGAAGAATAAATGTAATGCCCTTATGCATGAGCAGTGGTCTGGTATAATTCTGGTTTCTAGACAATGGTGCCTTGTAGCCTTCTAGCTTCCATCAGTCTGCTTACCTTCATCTCTGCCTTTCTGGGGCCAGCAGCAGCTGACTTCTGCTGACTCCTGCTGACTCCTGCTGTGGCATCAACAAGACCCTTCTTGGCACACTGAACAAGGTCTGGGATATCCTTGGCTCCTTGTCCATGGACCATGTTCCTGAGAGGAGAGTATTTCACTGGTTGTTCATTATGTTAAGATGGGTTTTTAATGCAAACCTTCAATTTTCCTCTGCAAGATTGCTCTACTGATGTAATTTTAGTGCCCAGAGGCCTCTAATCTTGTAGAGTTGAGAAGCAGGTATTTTTTGCTTCCCAGCAACATAATTTACTCTCATAATGTAGCACTTTTTGTCTGCTAATACTGAATCACTCCATTCTGTCTACCATTTTTTTCATCATATTGAATCACAAAGGGTAAACTGCAGTTCAGAGTTGCAGGTAAAATTGCAAACAAATTAAAATTCCTTTTTAAGTTTCTTGAAAAATTATCTTGATGGATCCAAAAGTAAAAGAGATAAGACATTATGATTCCTAATTATAGAAAGTTTGTATGATATGATAACTTTTTTTTTTTTGAGAATCTGCCTAAGCGTAGGTCATTCCTTTGTTATCATTTATTTTTCATCTCTTATTTGCTGTTTTTCATGAATGATAGTGTGAGCAGAAAAAGAGTAGGCATATTAAATAACACTTCGGCTATTTCCTAGTTTATAGCTTCCTCTCCCAGAAAGCCTTAATCTCTGATACCAAAGTTTGTACACAGAATCACATTCACTTGAAATCTAAACAGGTTGAATAAGGTACCCACAGTAAAATAACATAAATATCCCTTTTAATCTTCCAAAAATTAAAATTGATCATCCTATGACATTGTCATTCAGGTTTTGGAGCAAATTTCCTTTATTTACTCAGAGCACTTATAGAGAAGGAAGGGGTGGAGAAAAAGAATTTGTCTCATCTTACACCACAATACAATTCAGTGGCTCAACTCATGCAGATTTGTCAGTGAGGACATTAAACATTAGCCCTCTAATAGCAGAAGAAATTCTTGTGACATTAGAGCATTAAGTGATATATTGTTATACACCACTCTGGCCACTGGTTAATATTAATCATCAGCATTTGAAATGTTGTTTCAGAGCACTGTTTGATCCAACCTACCTGGAAATAAATGGAAAATGGCAAATAGTTGACTAAAGATTCCAAGATGGTGAATGAAGACCCTGAGGAAACTTTGTCATAAAGTTTCAGAGCTGGAATTTCTTCTTACTGGTTTTCACTGCATTTGCCATTTTTTTTCACGAGGAAAATCTGATTGAAGAGAGAGCTGCAAAATCTTTTGATGAGAAAAGAATATCTACCTTAAATTTTCCAGTGAGAAATCAATATGCAATCTGATTGAAGAGAGAGCTGCAAAATCTTTTGATGAGAAAAGAATATGCTTTCCAGTGAGAAATCAATATGCTTAACTTATCAAAAGTAGATTGAGCAGTGACTTAATTAAGGTGTGTAAAGATCGTCAGTGGAGGAAAATAGCAGATACTAATTGGCTCTTCAATCTTTTGGAAAAAAGATATTGCAAAACTGAAAACCATTGGAAGTTAAATCTAGAACAATTCAAATGAGAAATACAAGACAGATTTTTAACTATGACATAATCAAGCATTTGCAGGGATGTATAGGACAAAAAACAGCAGGTGATGGATTTCTTTGTTTCTTTCAAACAAAACTACATACCTGTCTAGTAAACATGCTTTAGATAAACTAATATAAATAAACCTGAAACAATGGAACAGTAAATTATATGGTCTGTGGAAAATTTAGGTGATGAAAGCAAGTGATAGATTTGCTTCTGGTTTTAACAAATGGCAAGGGCTGGCCAATTTCTATGTATTTACACTTCCTTATAAAAAGCTGGGGCTCAGATCAATATAGCTACATTTGCACATTCATAGCTGATTTCAATAAAGTCTTTCAGTCTGCATTGGAGTCTGTCTTCCCCCATTTTCTAGCACCCATAATACCTAGTTTGGTTGGCTTATCAATCAGAGTGCACAACCAAGAAGATAAAAAAGTGTTCTCCAGTCTAGTTCATGCTTGCTGTAGTCCATGGGTTGGTTATGCCTTTCCCAGCCTGCAGCACACAGGTTTCCCTAGTGTGCTTTGTTCCCAGGAGGCTTTTGTGAAGGGCAGAGTCTCTTCAGGTATTAGTCTTAATCTAGGACTGCAAATGGCTCTAGAGATTTGAATTTCTCCAGCAAAGTGAAGTGTGCCATAAGACAAAAATCCACCATCATGTATTCGTTTCTCTCCCTGCTTTGTTTTGCCTGTTTATATTTGTTTCAGTGCATATTTCTCAGTCTTTGTTTCAAAAGTGAGATTCTTCTACAAACCCCTGCATTTCTCTATACATGACCACTTTGACAGTACCATTTACACATAAGGGCTAGGGCTCAGCAGGCTAGAGAGGATTATAGTTCAAAGAGAGATTGAAGATTATAAATGCAGGTCAAATAACACAGATAAAGTGTTAAACTGGGAACGCTGAGATCAGATGAGAGGAAAATATTACTCCTTCAACTGGATGTTCTAGATATCTATCTACCTTAAATTTTCAGTGACATTTCCAAAATATGTAAGTAAGACAAGGATTTTCCCTCAAGTGGAGTTTTGTGTATATTCACTGCATTCAGAGAATTCATCCTTGTAGTCTGTCACTATGAAAATAATAAAGTTTGGTGTATTTTCAGACTGTGTTTCAGGAGGCACTGGAAACATTTTAAATTAATAATTTACAGCTCTAAGTCCATGGTGTATTACTCTTTTCTTGTTCCTAATCTTTTTTACCTTGAGATCAACAGGACTGTTGTTATCAACTACAGTGGGAATTGGGAACATTAAACCTTTCTCCATTTCTGTTTCTCAAATGTATTCCAGGTGATTGCTAACAGGTAAGTCAGGGAATACCACTTGATGTTAAATCTGAAAAGTGTCCCTTTTCAATGCAACATCCCCTGGACATTCCTGAACTTTAAAAGTGATAATTATTTATTGTACTATGTATCTCACAGACCCACTCAGATTGCAAGTAGGTTGAGGTCATCTACATCTACATCTATCACTGTGTCACAAAGCAAGATCTGCATGTCTATCATTCCTTGCAGATGTGCTTCTAAAGTGATCATAGAGATCTCCAGTGATATGGACTGCATAGCTGCTAGTGGCAGTCTGGTGTTGTACTTTACTGTCCTCAATTTTATAAAGTTTCTTCATCAATCTATCCAATCTTCCTCATTGCATTTTAAACCCATTAATTTTTCTCCAGTCCTCTCTGGAGATGGAGAACAAATTGTTCCTGCCCCTCTGCAGTAGCCTCTTTAATAGGTGAAAGCTGGGCCATACCTGAGTCAATGTTCTTTATTATCAGCTAAATAAGTACAATTATTTTACTTTCCATATTTCTGATTCTCATTGCTCTTTTTTCTCCCATCCCCCTCCCCCAGCTTTAAGCACAAATACAAACAAACTAATGTTACAATCCCATTACACAATGCAAAATATATTGCTACTCAAGTTATCCACCTTGTTAATATTTTCCTTGGCCTGTCTGTTTTCTCATTATTATTTTCTGTGTATTGATTTCTTTGTTGATATTGATTGTCTGCAAATTCTTTTTATTTAAATGAATATTTGTCTCATGAAATATTTTGGAATATAATTATTAGATGGACAAGTGTTCTGAATTGACTTTGAATGATAGATTTCCTTTATTAAGTTACCTTGACAATATAGTTTTTTAGTTTTATTTCCTTGCTGAACACCTTGCTATTTAAAATTAAGCAGCAGGTTTCCCTTTTCTTTGTTTTAGAGATCATAATAGTTCACTTTAGCTAAGTCTCACCTTGAGTGCAAGCTTAGTTTTCTTCTGGAGAGTATTGATCGGTGTTACACAGCCCTTAAAACAATCAGTATTTTAAACCTTTCATTTTAAAGGTGTCTCTTCTTTCATACATTTACATTTAAGTTGTAAGCAGAAGCCTTTTAAGATTTGGCCTGGAGGTTTTGAGTAACTCCTCTGAGGTTGGAAAGATAGATCTGGACATTTATAATGTTTAGCACCTCATGGATAGACAAAATCCATAGGTGGAATAAGTGGAATAAATTCCATTGATTCAGTGAAAAAAATACCAATTTTAGCTATTTGGGTTGCAGGGCAGCAGTCCACAGATTTATATGGGATCAAGGCTTAAGCCATATTATTGAGAGATAAGGTTTTGCATTCAGTTCTATGGGAAAATTAGAAGTGGATTGTGGGAAAACAGGATGGAGACTCCATGTGGGCCATAAATCACAACCGTGTTTTTTTGCACAGACCATTCAAGTGAAAAGTGGAGGGGACTATGCTCTAGCAAGGAAGGTGTTCTAAGAATACATCCAAAGAGTGTGAACACCTTGCGGGGAGATTGTTCATGGTGAGGCATTGATCAGAAGCATTCCAGTCAGAAAATAGACCAAACTAACCTTCTTTTCCTTCTCTGCTGTTTTCTAAAAGTTAAAAAGGAATCTCTGGAAAGCTATTACTTTTTGCTCATTTGTGAGAGTAATCTAGCCTTTCAGCCTATGAGCCAGGGTATGAACACAGGACAACTAAATATTAAACTTGTGTGATGCAAACCCTTTTTTGATGCAATACCTCTTAGTGTTGTCATGCTTGTTTTCCAATCATCCTTTCAACAGCACTCAAGCTCTCCCACGGAGAAAGACATTGCTCTCAATTTACTCTGCTTTGCTAAACAATAAACAAGACCTTATTATGGTTACCACTTTCCTCAGATTTGACAGGAATGTCTCAATACACAAAGGTCCAGTGAAACAAGTAAAGACTTAGATGCATGGTGAATGCCCATCCTATAATGCATGAATAGTCAAACTCTGTGATTCCTGCTGGTTGTATGTAGCTCTGAATAAAACATTTGTGGAATGAGTTCATAACTGTATTTGTTGCAAATTTTGAGATAAAGTAAATGAAAATGTTGTGGCAATGAATTATTTAGATTGTTATCATATTACTAGTATATGTTTTTAATCTGAAAAAAAACCCCAGAAATCACTCTGAATGTTAGCATTCCTAGCACTTTTTTTCTGGCACTATGTGGTTTCTGCTCCAGCACCTTGATTTTAAATTTCCATTACAAGCATGAGTCAGGCTTCCATGGCACTTTCTTTGGCATGTACTGAAATAAGATTTTTGTTCACCCATAGTTGGAAATAACTAGGAAGACTGTGAATCATTACCAATGTCCTCATACTTTCCTTCTCTTAGATGACGATTTCACAAAAATTGAAATAAATTCCTTAAAATCTACAAAATGTGTTATGGAAAAAATAATTTAAAAATCAATCAAGAGTCTTGAATGGCAAAGATTCATTTATGATAACTTAATATGTCATTATAACCATAGATGTGATGAATGGGAATCATTAAGTTTTCTTTGCAGGAGGGTTAATTTTAAATTAGAGTCACTTACAGGGATGGCTTCTGTGAGAAGCTGCCATAAGCTTTGTCCATGTCTGACAGGACCAATGACAGTTGTGTCCAAGATAGAGCAACCACTGGTCAAGCCCAAGACCATCAGACATGATGGTAATGCCTCTGACATAACATGTTTAAGAAGAGGAAAAAAAAAAAGCTGACCTACAGTAAACAGGGAAAGGGATGAGGGGCCCAAGCCCATCAGACATGATGGTAATGCCTCTGACATAACATGTTTAAGAAGAGGAAAAAAAAAAGCTGACCTACAGCAAACAGGGAGAGGGATGAGGATATGTGAGAGGAACATCCCTGCAGACCCAAGAGAAGAGGGGGCCGGAGGTCTCCAGGCACCAGAGCTGAGATCCCCCTGCAGCCCATGGTGCAGGCCATGGTGAGGCAGCTGTGCCCCTGCAGCCCATGGAGGCCCATGGGGATGCAGAGACCAGTATGTGGCCCCTGGATAAACCCATGCTGGAGCTGTCTGTAGCTTCCTGAAGGAGGCTGTAACTCTACAGGATGCTCGTGCTGGAGCAGGCTCCCGGCAGGACCCGTGGCCACAGAAGCCCATGCTGGAGCAATTTTGCTGTCAGGATTTCTGACCCCACAAAAGGGATCCTGTGCTGGGGACTTTCAGTTAGATATTATATTTTAGGGTGTTTTCGGTTTGATATTAGTAAAAGATCTTCACCAAGAGGGTGGGCACTGGAACAGCTGCCCAGGGAAGTGGTCACAGCGCCAGCCTGAAACAATTCAAGAACACTCTCCGGCACATGGTGTGACTCTTGGGGTGTTCTGTGCAGAACCAGGAGCTGGACTCAATGATCCTGATGGGTTTCTTCCACCTCAGATATTCTGTGATTCTATGACTGTACCCTGTGACTGGGACACAAATTGGAGCAGTTTGTGAAGAACTGCAGCTCATGGGAAGGACTCTCATTGAAGGACAGTATGGAGCACTGTCTCCTGTGGGAAGGACCCTAACTGGAGCAGGGGAAGAGTATGAGGAGTCCTTCCTCAGGAGGGAGGCAGTGTCAGAGACACCATGTGATGAACAGTCTACAGACAACATTCCATTCTTCCCTGTGCTGCTGCACAGGAGGACGTAGAGAAATACGAAGTTGAGCCCTGGAAGATTGGAGGGGTGATGGAAGGGTGTTTTAAGAATTAGTTTTAATTTCTCATTACACTACTCTGGTTTGATTTGCAATAAATTAAGTTAATTTCCCAAACTTGCGTCTGGTTTTTTTCATTACAGTAATTGCTGAGTGATCTCTTGCTGTCCTTATTTCAACCCATAAGCCATTCATTTTCCCTTCCAAGCCCAGATGAGAAGGGAAATCATAGAGCTGCTATGGCAGGCACCTGGCATCCAGCCAGGAACAGCCCACCACAGAGTATTATACCTTACAGCAGTTTATCACTGGCCTGCTCTCTTCACTAGAAGCTTTTCCCTGTCTGCATAAGAAACAGAAGATATTTGCTCTGCAAAGAGTTCTGCAGCACATTATTTCTGCATCCATTATTTGTGAACTTTGGTCATTCCTCTTATACATTTCACTTAGCCACCTGTTAAATCTGGCCATCTGTCAAGGAGTTATCCTTAATCTTTATCAGCTTCTTTTACTGTTGTCTGTCATATCCAGCATCTTCTTGTGTCATGCACAGAAGTTCCTTACTACTCTGTATGTAGTACACAGTACTGCATACTGTGTACTACATTCTGTCCAGCTAGGTTAATCTTGGTCCTAGTTAGCAACATATTAATCTGTCTGCAGTCCTAAAATCTTGAAGAAAAAATTAAAGATTAAAAAAATATTTTAGAAATTGATATGTACAAACTACATTTGCATGTTTTTATATACTATTATATACATTATTGATTAGAGAGTAGTAATGAAAACTTATTGCATAGTGAAATGTTACCCTACTATGCCAGGACTGCTTGAAAACATCACTGAAGCTGTGGAGTATGTAGTCTAATTAGAAAACAGAATGTCTTGTGTAATTACGGGTCTTTGGGACTAGGTGTGTCCTAGGGTGACATTATGATGGGAATATCCCCAGTCGTCTGTTCTGTTTATGCTGGATATTATGTTCTGTGCCTTCCAGACTGGCTCTGAAGAGCAGAGTTTTGTTTTGGTTTTGTTATCAGCCTGCTCCCCCATGGCTGGCGGGACACAGAGATGAGGCAGTACATAGCCTGGCTTTTGCTTTTTGCTTTGCTCTTGTTCTTGGTTCTGCTTTGCTCCTGCTTTGCTCTTGCTTTTGCTCTTCTCGTTAGTTAGTTTAGCTAAGCAGTCCGAATTTTCCCTGGACTGTTTTTCTTTCCCTTTCTTGGAACCACTCGAGCCTGCTCCGGACTGTGACCTGGGAAACAACAAGAGTTTGCATTTTGTGGCTGCAGCAGCCATCCCCAGCGCTGGAGGGAGCAACAACAGAGCGACCACTCCCAGGAGAGACTTTCTGAATTTGTCTTCCTTTTCAGATAGGTGAGTGTGTTGTCATGTGGTATTGTTCATTTTGTGTGCTGGGGAGTGCTCTGCCTGTTAAATAAACAGGTGCTTTCACTTCTCTCCGAGGAATCCTTCCTGAACCAATTGTGGGGGCGGGGGGAAGCTGTGTGGGTTTGCTTTCTGGAGGGGTCCCCTTTGGAGGTTCTCTCCCAAATTTGCCCTAAACCAGGACAAAGTGGAAGAATGGAATGACATTTTTAAGACTAGTGAGATACATGACAATAACACCTAGATCACATACTCTGATACTCTGATGTCAGAAAATGAATTGTTAGAAGTGTTGACTATCAGGAGACAGTATTGCTCAATAGATTTGTGTGCCTAGGAGAAAGAAGTGACAGAAATGGCATATGGAGTAGGAGCAGCAAGAAAATCCAAGACAACTAAATAAATGGTCATAGCGTGAATCTGGGCTGAGGTTGAGAGAATGCTTTTGCAAGAAGCAATGTTTAAGAAACTGCATTGTACTGCTAGCAAGGCAAGATTATTTTATTTATTGAGTCCATCTGTATTCAAGGTAACAGGACCATTTATGTTTTCTCACACAGTTGAAAACTTGCAATGAAGAAGTCCATCATCGCTGGGATTTTCTTTTTTTAAATGTTCATGGTGAAAATTGTGCAAAGGACCCATATTCCTCATGGCTGCTTCAGTGAAACTGTTGCCCACTATTTCTTAGATAGCATGCTGAAATAAAATATTAGGTTCTATTAGATAAGCTAATTTACTGATCTGCACTATTGTTAGCTAAGTATTATCCTTGTTTTATAAGGATGATTATTGATTACTAAATGACTTTAATTTCAGTAAACAGCACAGAGAGTGAGTTACATTGAATTATCAATAATTAATTGCTAAACGTTAACATATGTTTTCATTGATCTTTGGCAGGGCTTTTAAATTCAGAAATTGGAAATGCTTCTGTAGTTTCTTCCAAGATAGTAATTATTATTATATTGTTATCAGATTCCTTAGTAATTTCATAAATAATAGTTAATTTCATTGTAACTGGCACCATCTTTTCATCCTGTTTCTATCTTGGGATTAGCACAATAGTCTTGTGTCAACTTTCAACACACTTTATTACCACCTGATCTCCTTGCCACTTCTAATTCAAAATGTTCATAAATATCACAAGGTTGCTAATAGGTGAGAAAAAATTGTTCTTAAGTCATTACGAGCTGGTACTGTTTAATTAATTTGGATAGTTTACATGGATAAAATAGGGAGGATTTGTCTTACATATTTAAAGAGCTTGATTGGTCATTTTTGTGACAACCTAAGTTCCTGTGTCTCTTCTGGGGGGTCGTGCTTCCTTGTAAGTGAAGGAGAGTGGGACAAGTGTCTGTGACTCTTCCCTTGTTTCTGGTGCAATACTAAACCCAGTTAACTGACATTTTAAATCAGTGGATTGAGCTTGGATGGGTAAGAGACAGACTTGCATTCTGTTCTGCCTCTGCTGCTGCAAGGAGCCTCTAGAAGGAAAGGGAGCAGGAAAGAAAGCTCAGAACTGTGAGAATGCTCAGACATGAAAGACACATAAGGTCATCTGCCAATGCCCAGCAGACACATGCGAAGATTTATCTTCTCTGAGGAGGATGCATGCCATAACAACAGGACTTTCTTTTCTGTTTGTTGTGTACAACAGGTTGTGGAGTACCAGATATTTGTTATAAGTAATAAAAGCCTACTGATCTCTTGGCTCTTCTATAATTAAAAACATCAGCAAAGTTAGAACTTCTGTCTAACTTCTGTCAACAAAGTTCATCAGGGATTAAAAGGTTAGATGAATAGCAGGCAAGACAAAAGCAGAATATTTTGTCTTGGAAATGCTGGAATATTTAATTTCTGAATTTATGAGATTAAATTCTCCAACTGTTTTTTCAAATTGGATTCACCAGCAAAAATTAGGGGTGAAGAAGAGGATGATGAAAATTAAGATACCTTACCTACTGCACTGAAGACTGTTGTTCCTATGGAAAAGATCTTTCAATGCTTTCTTTCTCTGGTGTTCAGTACTTTTTGTTCAGTCCCTAAAGTAAGTAACTTTTGAGCCAAGGGAATCCCAATAACTCCTGGAAGCAGAAGAAATTTCAAGTGTTTTGTCAGCAGAGTGCTGAACAGTGGGATGCCAAAAAACTGTCTGTATAATTACACACTGCATTTAGATGAAGGACAGGCAGATTAGAACTTTCTTTACTGTTTTTAGTGGTACACAAAAGATATGGCACTTCTCAGATCCTCTGAGTAGAATTGCTTTATACCACATGAAGTAGGTAGCTGTAGTGAATAATTTCCTTCTTCCATAAGCCCGGTGTAATTCTTTTATGTTGTTCAGCTGAGTGGTAATTTATAATGGACACCTAGTAAAACAAACAGGAATAAAATAAGAATGAGTGAGAAAACTTAACTCCAATGAATTCAGCTCAGATATCATGAAGGTATCTGGCATTAAAGCAAAAAAAACAAAACCAAGACAATCGTGAAAAGAACAACTCAACATAAGAAGTAAACCCAACCCAAACAAAAAATAAAAACAAGAAAAAAGGAAAAAAAAAAAAGGCAAGAACCCTCTCGGTGTGGAAGAACCATAGGCTCAGTCTAATGGAGAAAACAGGATGGGAGGACAAGATACCTGAATGTGTGCCTGGACTAGGTCCTAATTCTCAGCAGTCTCAGAAAGGGATAATCACCCCAGATCTTTCTTTCTCTCCCTTTCTTTATTAGGTATGAATGTAAGAAGCAACACACATTTTCTTCCAAGGATGTTATTATTATTCCTCATATTATAGTTTTATCTATTGATCCCATTCTAAAACTTATTGAAATAAAATACTTTTCTACTTACTTCAATAAGTTTTAAGTCCATAAATATGAAAATTAATCTTCTTCTTTGGAAGTTATTTCAAGATAAATGCTAGAACATGAGTTAGGATAAGACAAGAAGCAATCACACTTTATAAAACTGTGACTCTAACTATTATGAAATTACACAGTTATTGTAGTTTATGTAATTATAATGTATCTAAGTAATCAGTAGTAGTTCTTATAGCAGGGAGTTTAGTCCCATTTCTTGTACTGCTTTTTAATACAATTTTATTTCATAGTCCTACAAATCCATTTTACATGGATTATAGTTATATGATGCAGTTATTTATACTTCAGTTGCAGTCATTTATGTACAGACCTTTCAGTTAAGCTAATGTATTATTAATTACCTGGATGACAATACATAACTATCCCAATGTACACACTACACCAGTCTTAAAAGCTAACTACCTAATTCTAATTCTTTCTCTGAGTAATACAATGCTTATTTACTACCTCAGAACTTCAATTCTAGATAAAGACAATACATTTCATTGTAGAGAAGGTTTTTTTCCAGCAAGACAAAGGGTGGCAGGCTTTTGCCCCACACAGGTGAATGTGTATTGGTATTATGAATTTGTATTGGTATTACAGGGTGAATGCCCTGTAATACCAATACAAATTAAGTAGCATAGGGGTTTTTTCCAGCAAGACAAAGGGTGGCAGGCTTTTGCCCCACACAGCTAGGAGGTGAATGCCCTGTAATAGCAATACAAATTAAATAGCATAGGAGTATCAAAGACTTCAGTTTCCCACCAGAGCTCGAAAACTCTCCTAGTGAACTTAGAATCAGGCTGTAGACATGAAAAGATACTAACTGGCTTCTCTATGTTTTTTGGTTACCAGTGGATAGAGTTTGCCTAAGATCTATCCAATTTGTTTAGGATAATGCCAGGTCTAGGCTGTATATACATCCCTGATAAAGTCTGGAACATAGATTTCCTTCAACGTATTTCAAACAGAGATGGCAGCTTACAGACTGTATAATGCTCACATGCCAACAACTTACTTTCAATGAAAGAATCTTTTTTTCCCCCTTAAAACTTTAAAAGGATACTTTTGTCAAGATGTTAAAAGTGGATGAGACTTGAGCCCCTTTGCTTTCTGATATATCATATTGAATAGTGAGTACTACGCTGATCCAGCAGTATACACCTGGATCAGCAATTCTGTATAGCTGATATCAATGTTACTGACCACTGGTGTTGTCTTTCACTGCCTGTGGTATTTTCTGTACATCACCATGTCCCTAAATCTTCTGCCAAGAAGCTACAGCTTTACCACCCAGGCTCAGTCTGTTGCTGTCCAAAAGCTGGCCACTCCCTGTCCAGAAATGAGGAAAAAACCCTTGCAACACTGATGAGGAGCAACTGAAGACAAGACACATTCTTACCTCTCAGCTCCCAGCAAATTGTTGAAGAGAAGTGTTTCTTCTCATGCACTACTAGCAAGGATCTGAAGGCTTCAAGAATTCCTCTAGGAGCAGATATCAGTCCCCAAGGAAAATCAGATCAGCTCACTGCTCTTACTTCAAGTCACAAGGGCTGTCACTTGTGCTCTGCTGATGTTTCAGTGATTCTTGCCCATAGTACTTAACAGTGCTGTGCCACCTGGGGCAGGATGGCACATTCTGGAACTGTGACCACAGAGAACTCCACTAAGCACACCCACTGCCATGCAGCCTGTTTTTAATGGTTGCACACACCATTAAACCTACAAACAGGTTCAACAGCAGCAGGATCCAGAGGTCTGTGTAAGGTAATGATGCACAGAAACTTCAGAGGGGAATTAAAAAAATATATTTTATGATACAATAACCTGAAGGATTAAACTCCTATTTAGCCTATGGTTGAAGACTTGCATTTTTTTACCTTCCTTCTGCTGTATGCCACAGAACCACCAGAATTATTTGGCAAAAGATGGTAACCTCTGCAGCCATCCTAAAAGAGGGAGGATTCACACGTCCTCAATTATTCAAAGAGAAAAATGTAGCATGACTGGGTACCCCAAGTAAAAGACGTTTTCATAAAATTATAAAAATTGTATTGTATATACAGATATATTACCTACCTATGGACTGTTAATGTATTCAATTAATTTCCTCAATTTGAGTTGGTTTTTTTTTTTTTTTCCCCATGTAATTGGTGAGAGACGTTTCCTTGTCCTTAGCTCAACCCACAAGCCTGTTATATTTTCTCTCCCCTGTCCAGCTGAGGACAGTGATAGAGTGTCTTTGGTAGGCACCTGGTGTCCAGCCGAGAACAAACCATGTCACTCACACATCCTCACTCCTCTCTCCAGATGTATTTGCTCTGGCAGCCTTTTTTCCCCTGCTTCTTAAATATGTTATCCCAGAAGCTTTACCACTGTTGTTGATATGTTGACCCTTGGACAGGGGCAGGACTGTCCTGGAGCCAGCTGGAATTGATTTTACCAGACATGGGGGAACTTCCTGGCAGCTTCTCACAGAAATCATCCCTTTAACCTCCCCCACCACCAAAAAAAAAAATAATTCTATATTTAATCCCCCTTTACCCCCCCCCCCCCCCAAAAAAAAAAAAAAAAAATTCTATATTTAAGCCATGAGTCAAATGAAAACATTAGAAGGCATGATTGCAGCCTACAGTGCATTCTTGAACTATATATATTTTCTCATTTAATTGACAGTGGAAATTATTGGTGAAGTATAATTTTAAAGAAAAACAATGTAATGTCCTGTCAAATTAAACATATTCACACAATGGATGCTTAATTTTGATTTGGCATGATAGCTGTGGTTGTCAGGAACATGCCCTCTTGTTCAAGTTATGCCTTAACATTTTCTGAACCTCCTACTAGAGTCAAAGTTAAATTTACAGTCTTGACATTTTCCACTGTCTTTAAATATCCCTGTGACTAGTTATTCAAACATTTTCATAGTAGCATTGTTCCCTCGTGTTTCTGAAGTTTTTAATGATCTTCAAGTTTGAAGTTTTGAAATAAAGCAAGGGATAATTTGAAGGGGGGAAAAAAAAGTATGATTATGATATCAAAATACCTTTTCAAATTTAGTGTGTTAAAGTACTAAGATAAAATCTAAAATAGAGCATTGTCATGTTCAGTCAGTGAGGAGAGGAAAGTTTGTGCATATGTGGATGTGCATATCAAATTGTTAACCAGATCTTCTCTTTTATCAGGCAAAGCACAGCGAAAGTCAGAGATGGCCATTCCCCTTAATTTACAGGGAGCAGATAAGTTCCATTAATATGAAAGCCCGCAGAGTTTGCCATCTCTTGGTTGCTAGAGCCACACAGAAGAAAGCTGATGCATCACTCCTCTTTTTATTTTACCTTTCTGCTCTCATCAATCTTCTAGGAAAAATTCCCTGGTTATGACTTTGTTGCCTTTTTGTGGTTCAACTCTTTCCTCTCATTTACTACAGCTCTAACGGCATCTGAATTTGGCTAATTCTCCCTATTATAAAACTAGATATAGTTACTGTGATATGAATTATGTCACTGGAGAAATTGAATCTGGAAATTGAGCCTTCTGCAGAGGTTTAAGCAATAGGGTTAAAACAAGCAGCTCCATGTCCCTTGGAAGACCACATTATTGTCTACAGCTTTCCCACATGTAAATTATTACCTAGTGTAAGTTGCATACAGTGTTTCCTCTCCAGGATATTCCTATTACAAATGATTTTTCAAAGAATAGCTAATATAACAAGATGAAGGAGAAATATAAAGGCAAGATGAAAAACATGAGAGCAAGTTAATCTTTGGCAAAATTTGACTCAAGATCATTAAGTTTACAAATTAATAACATGATTTTTCTTTGTGTCAGCTGGGTGTAAAAGACCAATTTCTTCTCTCTAATACTTATAAGGTGCTTATTAAACCTTATGTACAACTTTCAAGTATTACTAAATGGAGATACCCCAGCATTGTGTTCTTGTTGCTATGTGCTTGACAATTTTAGAGATTATGATAGTAACTTGTGATGTATATGTTACCATGGTGATGACTTTCTTAATGAACAGAGTATGAAATTGGCTTATAACACATACATACTTTTAGCCTGTAAATTGCAGGGGTTTTGTATGAACCAGAATTCACACTTGCTGGAATGTATGATTAATGTATTACATGAGGCTGACAGCGTATGCTCAAAGGTTCTTATTGTGGCAGCAGATGCTGATCTGCTGAGAATTAAATATCTTTTCCTGAAC